TTAGGGTTTAGAGTTTAGGCCTGACATGGCAGGGTGCCTATAAAAGAGGCTTGGGGCAGCAGGGTAATGTGTTCTGGCTGTAGGGAGTTTGACCCCAAGCTTGCCCCTGGGGTCTTGGTGTCTAGGGTTTACGTAGTCCGATCAACCCTAAACCTAAGCTCTAAACCCTAATCCCTAAACCCAGGGCTTAGTCCGGATGTTTGGCCAAGGCCGGCGGAAGGAGCTTTCTTCCTTTGCTTGCACGCCTACCTGGATGAACCACGGTGGCATCCAAGCAAAGCAAAGACCGACCATACAGGGCTTCGGGTTTAGGGGTTTAGGGTTTAGGGGCCTTCTTCCCTTTGTTTATGGCTTTGGTTTAGCTTCCCTTATAAACCCCTAAACCCTATCTTGCTAACGCCCAGAGTGCGCCGGTGCCCCTGGAAGGTGCACTGCAACCTTAGGGTCCGGCTAAGGGCCTAAGGGTTTAGGGTTTAGGGTTCAGGGTTTAGGGTTTAGGTTTAGGAGCTCGTGGACCCTAAACCCCGAAAACCTCGTGCTTAAGGCTTAGCTCTAAGGTTCAGAAAAATGGTAAACTTTTAGGGTATCTCGGATTTCGAATCTGTTTTGAATCGGTTCAAGGATTTGAGGGCCTTCAGAGTTTGGGGCTGTTGGGTGGGGGTGCTTTGGCTGTGTCGGACTGTGGTTGAGGGTTTAGGGTTTTGGGTGGTCCGCAAGGGAAAGTGTTGCAGGGGTACCTCATACCATTTTTTACAGAACTTTCCAAGATGCAGCCCAGGCTTCTCTTCTGGGGGTTGACGATCATTGCTTGTGGAGTTCTTGGTGAAGCAGTTGAAGAAGTTGGTTTCCTGCAATAGTTGGTTCATCTGTAACCGTTAGTTCAGGGTTTAGGGCTTAGGGTTCACCCTAAACCCTAAACCCCAAACCCCCAACCCCTAAACCCCCCCAACCCCCCCCCCCCCCCCCCCCCCAAAGAAAGGGAACCAAAGGTGGGCTCGGAACTCTTGAAAGTAAATCTCGAGGCCTTCGACCCCCCAAACACCTGCAGCCTTGGATCCCTCAAAGCGCTGAATACTTGAATCCAGGGCTTAGGGTTTCGGGTTTAGGGTTTAGGGTAACCTTTTGAAACCCTCAAAGCCTCTGAAGCCTATGAAGCCCCTTTTTAGCCGAGGGATTTCGGACCCTCAATTGCCTAAAGCCAGAAAACCCTCAAGCCCCAACACTCCCCAAACCCGTAAACCCCAAACCCCGAACCCCAAGCTCTTCACCCCCCCGAAAATCCCTGCAGCCCCCAGCCCCTAAAACCCCTCAAAAGCTCCCAAAACTCTAGCGTAAAGCCATTAAACCTTAAGCCCTACACCCTGAACCCTAAAACCCTAAAGCCCCAAAACCCTAAAGCCCCAAAACCCTAAAACCATCAAAACCCTAAACCCTAAAAAAAACCCTAAACCCTAAACCCCAAACCCTAAACCCCAAACCCCCCTGAAAAGCCCGGAACTTGATGCATCCCCGATGCCGCCGAGGTGTCCTTCCCGCAGCAGACGCACCTCAACGGTCGAGCCGGGGGCTTTCATCCAAGCTTTAGGGTTTAGGGTTTAGGGTTTAGGGTTCAGGGTTTAGGGTTCAGGGTTTAGGGTTTAGGGTTTAGGGTTGTAGGGTTTTCGGGTTTGGGGTAGCAGCTCGGGAGTGGCAGATGTGCGTGTCGCAGTGTAGTTGATGTTGCAGACCCAGAATCCAGGGAGGATCCAAAAAGTAGATCCCCTTAGGGGTTTAGGTTTAGGGTTTAGGGTTTAGGGTTTAGGGTTTAGGGTTTAGTAGATCCCTAAGGGTTCCTAAAACTGACCCAATCGTAGTATAGGGAACTATTTGGGGGTTCTACTTTGTGAATCCTTGCAGGGGTCTGGGGAAAAAGTTGCAGCGTAAGTCGTTGAGCATTGCAATCGGCGGCAGGGAGCCTGGACTTGCCAATTTGCATGGGTAGTTCTCGACATTCGGGTCCCTGTTGCTGTCCTTCTTCTACGAGTGCCGTAATTACTAATTTATGTATGTATGTATGTATGTATGTATGTATGTATGTATGCACTTCTATATAGGACCCGCCCAAAGATCGGGCCCTACTTTTGCACACTACCCACATCAATTCCCGCACTGTCTTCTGCGACATACGAGCATGGCACAGATTCCGCTTCCCAATTCGGGACCCACCCCAGGCTGGGCTGAGGGTTTAGGGTTTAGGGTTTTGGGTTTGCCGCAAGTCACGCACACTTCTTCCTTTTAGGGTTTCGGCCCAAACTCATAAAAATGAAAGATTAAGATTATCAGCCAAAAGGGTTTTAGGGGGGTCCCAGAAGGGAGTCCCAGTACAAAGTGTCTCAGGAGGGTTCAGGAGATTCCCAGCAGCAGGGGTGGGGGCCAGGTCCCGAGAAGAAGGCTTGGGGTTTTAGGGTTTAGGGTTTAGGGTTTAGGGTTTAGGGTTAGGGTTAGGGTTTAGGGTTTAGGGTTTAGGGTTTCCATGTACGCCTTTATCGTGCAGTCGGTCACGGCGAGATGCCCGAACCCCCAAGCCCTAAATCAAAACGGTTTCCGGGCTGTTGCAGTTTTGCAACCGCCATAGGATTCCTAGATTTCCTAAGCCTTATAAACCCCAAGCCCAGCAACCCTAAACCCTAAACCCAAAAGACCGAAGTCCTAAACCCCAACAACGAAACCTTTATTCCGAGAGGTCAGTTTCACTGAGGCTTAAGCCCCAGGGCATTTCACTTCACACTGGTTTGTCACATCTTGAAAAGTATGGTTTATGGTTTAGGGTCCAGGCGTTTAGGGTTTAGAATACCCTAAACCCCAAAACCCTAAACCCTAAACCCTAAACCCTACGTACTTTAAAGTCCAAGTATGTGCTCCGGAGTTTGGGTGTTCGGACTCTTAGGTAAAAGTCCAAAGCTTCTGAGGTCTCACTTTGGGGCAGAATGACCTTACGTAGCACTAAACCCTAAACCCTAAACCCTAAACCCTAAACCCTACACCCTAAACTGCTTTTGGGGTCTTCTTTTAAGGGTGCCTTACTATCATAGGACCCAACCCACCTACAGGTTTTTGGGACAATTTCGAGCCTTCAATGTTTAGGGCTTATAGGGATTCTAACCCTAAACCCTAAACCCTAAACCCTAGGGTTTAGGGCGTCTGTCGGCTCAGGCTGTCCGCGCGCTTTGTGCATTGCATGTTGCCGATCACGTGCTCAAGGCTCGAGCTTCTGGGGTGGCTTTCGATACTCTCGCTCGAAATGTGTTTAGGGTTTAGGGTGGGGGTTTACGAAAATGAAGGACGCCGAACATAGACCCCCAAATAGCAGGCTTCCCTTACAATAAAGGCACTCGTAATTTCGGAAATCCCCAAATGTGTTTTGGGTGAAGGTTTTGGGGCTTTAGGGTTGAAGCTTCTCGGGGTCTTTGAAGCAGAGAAGGGAATAACCCTCTCATGGAAGCGTGGACGTACCAAAAGGGTGAGGCCCCCATCTCGATACTGCATTCCCCGAAGCTTACTGGGCGCCCTAGCCAATCCCCTATAAGGAGACATAGGGAGCGCCTTCTCTTCCTTATTATTTGCAAGGGTGATACAAGGGTGCATAAGGTACCTAAGTCCCTGTTTCCTTACCATGAACTAGAAGGCTAAAGCGGGGTTCTAGATCCGATGCCTTCGGGGTCGTGGTAAGTGGATCCTGTACCGACAAGTCCGACATTCTGCAGCTTTAGTAGTGTCTAGGGTTCATGGGTTTTTGGGTTCCTGTGGCTTGGGATATCTCGATGATCCTCAAAAGGGTTCCTCATACAGGTCATATAGGGTTATATAGGAGGCCTTACCCGATTCTTCACCAAGCTGCCAGAACCTTTGCTTGTCCAAGCCCCTGAGCAGTTGTCGTCCGAGAAGTAGCCCTTGCTATCCCCCTAAACCCTAAACCCTAAACCCTAAACTGCTGAACCCTCACCGCAAATTCTCCGAACCATGCTCCCAAACTCCAGACTCTTAAACCCTAAACTTCCCACACATAAGCCATAAACCCTAAACCATTTTTGTCTTCAGGAAACCCCAAAACCCTAAACCCCGAGTTATAGGTACAGCCCTGAAACGCTCGACCATGGCTTCGGTCGTTTTCCTTTTTCTGCATTTTTGCCGGCTCAGGGAGAACATCGTGTTGGTTCCGCTCCCGGCACGCCCACCTAGTGCTCTTCTTGCTGCGTGCCTTAGGGCTCCTGCGGTCATCCAGTGCAGGTTCTAGGGTTGCAAGAGGACGTGTGTAGTGCGTTCACAGTCATCGTAGTTCGGACAAATTCCTGCTGTACATTGTCTGTACTAATGGATCTAGGATGAAAAAATGTCCGTTATTCCTTTTCTTAGGGTGCAGGTTCCCGCTACCCAAAAAGGCTCCCTGTTTATTCCTAGGTTACTCTTGGGTCACCCTAGACCCTTCACCCTAAACCCTTATTGTTCCTGGGTCTAGGTATCGTAGTCTCCCAACTGAAGGTGTGCGGGCCCGAAACATTGGCTTGCAACGCTCGACAGACTGTGACAGGCATGCTTTATTCAGGGTTTAGGGTTTAAAGGTTTAGGGTTTAAAGGTTTAGAGTTTACGGTTTAGGGTTTAGGGTTTAGGGGCTGCTCAACAGTCGCTCTCCATTCAGAGTAGCCGAAAACACGGCTGAAAGTGCCGCGTGGGGACAGGGCTTAGGGTTCAGGGCGCCTAAATACAAACCTAAACGCCAAAGCCGTAAGGTTTCGGTACAAGCGTGCTGCGGCGGTGGTGTGCCAGAATGCTTCCGATGAAGATGCATGTGGCAGCAGCCCTACAGATCGCATTCAGGTTGACTTTCAGGTAACTTCCTTTGCTGCACACATCACCCCTGCAGCTGCCCCAAGTACAGTCATACTACTCTTAGAGTTTAGTCAGAATACACTTAGAATCCGAGCATTACAGGTGTTCTCTGTAGATTTGCCTCAGACTCGCAATGTCGTTTAGCTTCCGGTTGGCACGGGAAACAAACGATCAGCTGTCTGAAGCGAGCGCGGATGTGGTGGCGGCCCTGGATGCAGAGGAAAAGGCCTGGCTCCTTCGTGCCGCAGCGCGTTTTCAGCAAGTTACCGCAGCCTGGAAGCCAAGCGGTACCCTTTGCCCCCCTTTTTTTTGTTTTGGGAGGGGTTGTAGGGTTCCCTTTGTCAAGTAGCCCACCACCCAAAAAAGTGCCCTTATGATGGTACGCTGGCTGGGCTACCAAGGCAGTGAAGACGCTGCTCGTCGCGCGAGCGTCGGCGAATCAGGTGACCCGCCATCATACTGGAGGCGCATTCAGCGCCCTGCACGAAGCCTGCCGCTGCAACACCGAAGTCGACATCCTCCAATTGATGTTGCTCGGTCGGCCTTCGGGACATGTTGAGTATTTCCCCTTATTGGGTTTAAGAGGACCATCTCGTCATATTCTCTTTTCAGAGGACCCTGTTTAATTCGGAATCTGTTTCCCTCATTGGGTTTAAGAGAACCCGAATTTTAGGAATATTTTTCAGAGGTCTTTTAAGGGCGATCCTAGGTTGGAATCAAGAGGCGATCCGGAGCTGAAGACGCATTGCAAAGCAAATCGCAGGACCGCCCTGGAAGTTGCAGAGGCCGAAGGCCACGTGAATCTGGTCCCTTAGTAGCTGAGTGAGCACACGTTACACCTTTTTAGGATACTATATAATCCCCTATAGAACTGAAAGTGTACACTTTTTTTGGAGCTTATGAACTCAGCAACTAAGGTCCGGTTCTTGCAGGAATCTTCCACGACGTCTCTGGGAATTGCGGGAAGCGTTGGAAGCAAGGCCGCGCCTACTATGCCCATGCCGTCGCAGGAGGCTGGCTCTGGCTCTGTTCCGACGGCTAGTTTCCGGCAAACGCGCCAAGTTCTTGAGCACGTGACTGAGGAGGACGCTGCTGTCTTGGTGGCTTTGGGCGCCGAGGAAAGAGCATGGATGCTGCGTGTGGCAGCGGGATACAACCAAGTGTCCGCAGCTAAGGCGTTGCTTTGTGCCCGAGCTTCGGTCGATCACGTTACGCGACACTCTACCGGAGGTGTATTCAACGCCTTGCACGGGGCCTGCATGTGGAATGCTAGCACGGAGATGGTGCAGCTGCTTTTGCAAGCTCGAGCAGATACAAACATCAAGGCCCACTACAGAGGCCAGCCAAGGACCGCCTTGCAAATTCCCCCCCCCCCCCCCCGGTTCTTAGTAGGGAATGAAGTAGAGCCTTATATATACCCTTTAAGGGGCTCTACAGGGCTCTAATTCCCTTCATCCTTTTAGGGGATTACATAGGCTCTAATTCCCTCATTCCCTACACAAGGACCGCCTTGCAAATTGCTGCAGTCAACCGCCACGACGACTTGGTGCAGTGCTTCCCGGATGCGCGCTGGGCCCGGCCTTCCGGGTCAGGGCCAGCTGCGGCTGCGTGGTCCTGGGAATCTAGGCAGGCCTTCAGGGATACTTTGTATGTTCCCCCATTGTGTTTCCAGGGATGAGGGTTTAGGGTTTAGAGTTTTAGGGTTTAGGGTTTAGAGGTTAGGGGTTAGGGGTTAGGGATTTTTCAGAGGTCTTCACGGGCCATCCTAGGAATCCTCAGCCCAGCATGCTTGGTCTGCAACAGGGCCGCAGTCCTGGAACTCCAGTGCAGATACCTGGGGCGGCTACAGCCAGTGGTCTTGGCCACGGGCGGAAGGGAAGGAGGCTTCAACTTGGCCATCCCCAGAAGATGCCAGGGAAACCCTTGGAAGATTGTTTGCTTTCATTCCCGTGGAATGGGGTTCAGAGGGTTCATGTGCAAGAAGATTTGTCCGAGCCCTAAACCCTAAACCCTTAACCCCAAACCTTATAACACTAAACCCTAAACCCTAAACCCTAAACCCTAAACCCTAAACCCTAAACCCTAAACCCTAAACCCTAAACCCTAAACCTAACCCTAAACCCTAAACCCTAAACCCTAAACCCTAAACCCTAAACCCTAAACCCTAAACCCTAAACCCTAAACCCTAAACCCTAAACCCTAAACCCTAAACCCTAAACCCTAAACCCTAAACCCTAAACCCTAAACCCTAAACCCCAACCCCGGCTTTTTCTATTTGGGGCCATCCAAGGATGGTTCTGCGGCTGCCTTTCAACCATCGTCGCCCTCCGTCCGTCCGACGGAGACATCAAGCGGGACGCAGTGGTGGAACTGTGGTAGCTAAGTCTGGTACCCTTTAACCCTAAACCCTAAACCCTAAACCCTAAACCCTAAACCCTAAACCTTCTGAGTGGGTTTATAGGGGTTTGTAGGGAGCTGTGGTAGCCCAGAGGTAACCCTTTTGCCCTTTTGGGCTTTTAGGGTTAATGGGGTTTATAGGGCTTTCGGGTTTTGTAAGTTTCATCGGGTTTATAGGGTTTATAAGTTCTACAGGATGTATAGGGTTGTAGTGTTTATAGGGTCTATAGGGAACAGGGAACAGAGGTTTATAGGGTTCGTACGTTTTAGGGAGTAATATGAACCATCAGCAAATACCAAGGAACTATGGCTCCAGCGACGGATGGCAGTCTAAAGAGGCAGGCTGGCTTGCACAGAGCTACCCAGACCTCGCCTTAGTCCCTATGCTGCCCTAAACCCTAACTCATAGACATGAGTCTTAAACCCTGGTGATCCCCTAAGCCTTATATGAGCCCAAGGCTCCAAGCCCTGCACTCAAGAACTCTAAACCCTAAACCCCAAGCCCCACACCCTAAACCCTAAACCCCAAACCCTAAACCCAAATCAAAAACCCTAAAAGGTTCACAGGCCAGGTTTCGGAGCTCTCAAGACTACTCCTGCGCCCTCAACCTCAACCCTTAGCCCCACAACGTTTAGGGTTACCCAAGAAGGGCCCATTGTTTTGAACAGGCCCCTTGCAGCTCTCTGGGGGTTTGAGGGGTACTGGGGTGGCAGGGTTTAGGGTTTATGGTTTGGGGTTTAGGGATTAAAGTTTAGGGTTTAGGGTTTAGGGTTTAGGGTTTAGGGTTTAGGGTTTAGGGTTTAGGGTTTAGGGTTTAGGGTTTAGGGGCCTAGGGGCCTAGGGGCATTCTCCCCCATTGCTGAAGCAAGTTGGACGGCCTAGGCGAGCTCTTTCCAAGACGCCACGGCCATGAACTCTTCAGCCAGAAGCGCATCTGACACCAGGCCCATGCAACGTTCCCGATCTCCAACCGCGCAACTTTGTCATTAGGGTTTAGAGTTTAGGGTTTAGGCTTTAGTGGGGTAACATTTTGCATTGTTAAGGGTACTTGATCGCAATAAGGAATAGATAGTTAAACACTATCCCAACCATGAGCAAGGCAAGGGTCGTCAAACGCTGAGTCGTGGAGGTCTCACAATGGAGATGATGGTTGGAGTTGGGAGAACCGAGGCCTTCCATCACTTCTGTGGGAAGATGAAAGGGACTGGGATGTGATTGAGACGGTTCAGATTCACAGAGTGGCCTACCTTCAGAATACTTGCAGCGCTCATTTCAAGGATGGGCGTCCTCTCCAGCAGACGGTGGACGACTTAAAGCAAGGGCGGGTGGATCCGATGAAGCACAAGAACTTCATCCTAAACGGGCTGAAGTCGAACGTGAAGCATGAGGGACGGTGGCAGGATCTCTACTGGACTCAGGACCACCGACGGCTCCTTTGCATGCGACGAGCAGGCTGCACGCACGTCCGAGTGAGGCTTCGACCTTCCGACACTTGGGTCACTTTTCGAAAATCATTGTACATTTTCATGACTCCTTAACCCCAAGAAGGAACAAACATGATTTTTGTTTAAGTAGTACCCAGCAATGGTGCAGGACAGAAGCTTCACACCCATCATGCGCAAGATGATCGCTCGCCTTGGTCACGACACGACCATTCAGGTGCTTGGTGAGGCGAGCACCCAGGCCCCCAATTGAATTATTTGTTCTTCGGCTTTGACATTCGCCTTATATCACCCAAAGGCTTAAACCAATACCTTGTCTACTGCATGTGTCAGGAAATCTGGGGTTTAAGATTCCGGTTGAAGGCTTAGGCTTTAGGGGTTTGCGTCACAAGCTGGATTCAGATGTGTACATATGTTTCGGTTTCACTTGCTTTTTGCGAGACAGAACCCCGAGATTCGCCTGATCGCTGGGCGTGTCGGAAAACTGTGTTTGAACCCTAAAACCTAAACCCTAAACCCTAAAATTCAGCACCCTTCAATAAGGGGCTACGGGTACCGTAATGGGTGTATATAGGGCAGGGCCCTAAACCCCAGACCTTAGACCCTAGACCCTAGGGGTCTAGACTAGGAGAGGTTTCAGGCCTGAGAATGTCATAACACTTCGTTCTGGAGCCACTACTTGGAGTTCATCGGTACTTAGTGTTAGGGTTTAGGGGTTTAGGGGTTTAGGGGTTTAGGGGTTTAGGGGTTTAGGGTTTAGGGTTTAGGGTTTAGGTTTACAGGTTATAACCCCAGTTCTAAGTCAACTTGTAAGCTACTTAGGAGGCTTATAAGTACCCACCGTGTGCAAGCACAGCAAGTTCGTTGAAGGCATAACCTTGAAGTAGCCCAGTGGTACCCTTTCCCCTTTTTGTGGTTCAAGGGGTTCCCTTCTAACGTAACCAGCCCAATAAATACAGGGTACCTTTATTGTAATATGGTTACTGGGCTACCAAGTAACTGGCCCCCTTGCGCCGTGTTGTTTCAGCACTTCTTACCTGCTACGGAACTCCCAGAAGCGCCCCCCCTCTCCATCCCGCAGATCTCAATCCCCTACGGCCTAGATCCCTGCAAAGAGCAATCTCCCTAAGGGTCCAGGTACCTTATTATTATATACTTAGACCCAAAAGTTAGGCAGTACTTTAAGGCCCAAGTATTCCATAATTAGGTACATGGACCCTTAGGGTCTGTCTTAAATTTAAGCCCATTCATGCCCTCAACACTAGCCACTGCTTGTTCCCCCATGCCCTATGCCCGAAGCCCGATATTCGGATTCCGTATAGGTAACCCCCTAAACCCTAAACCCTAAGCCCTAAGCCCTAAACCCGAAACCCTAAACTCTAAACCCTAAACCCTAAACAATAAACCCTAAACCCTAAACCCTAGTCAGTCGATCCCCCCACACAAGTCCCACGACCTGAGCCCGGAAGCCCCAAACCGCAGGCCCAGATCTGAAGCCTAGCACCAGGGCCCTCAAGTGAACCCAGATCCCGTAAACCCCTAAACCCTGAACCCTTTCCCCTGTACAAACCCTAAACCCTAAACCCTAAACCCTAAACCCTAAACCCTAAACCCTAACCCCTAACCCCTAACCCCTAACCCCTAGCCCTAAACCCTAAACCCTAAACCCTAACCCCTAGCCCTAAACCCTAAACCCCTCACCCCACCCCGCACCTTTCAGGTGAGCCGGACCAGGGATTCACGAAAGCCAAGGCCAGCGGCCTTGGTAGGGTTCCTGGGTTTTGGGGTCTCAGGGAAATGGACTCTAAGCCCATAACATCCCTAAGCCCTGAACCCTACACAAGGTTTAGAGTTTAGGGTTTAGGGTTAGGGTTTAGGGTTAAGGGTTTAAGGTTTAGGGTTTAAGGTTTAGGGTTTAAGGTTTAGGGTTTAAGGTTCAGGGTTCAGGGTTTAGGGTTTTGGTGCAACTCTGGGTTTCCATAAACCCCAGAAAGTCAATATCTAGGCTACACGGTTTCAGTCTAATGTACGCTTAGCGCAGATAGGAGTTTCTAGGCTTGGGTTTTAGTGTGTTTAGGCTTTTGGGGTTTAGGGTATGTAGGCCACTAGGCCCTAAAACTTAAGCCTTATAAGCCCTAAACCCCAAACCCAAAGCCCTAAACCCTAAACCCTAACCGCGCCGAGCCCTCAGGTGTTGGTCCTCTGCCCTTTTCGCTCCGCCTGCCACGATTTCGCGCGGGGCTCACCACAGAGGGCCAGGGTTTCGGCTCTGGGATGTAGGGTTTGGGGTGTAGGGTTTAAGGTTTAGGGGTGTGGGGGTTTAGGGGTTCAGGGGTTCACGCGTTTCACGGGTTTCAGGATTCCGGGTTTCTGGGTTTTGAGTCTGTTTGGCTTTGTGCCAGTCCTGACTCGGCACGCCCGTGCAGTGCACGATGTGTGGGTTTAGGGTTTAAATTGTAGGGTTCAGGGTTGAGGGTTTAGGGTTTAGGGTTTAGGGTTCAGGGTTCAGGGTTCAGGGTTCAGGGTTGAGGGCGTTAGGGTTCCGATCAAGCTGAACGCCTGCTATCGGCCCGGAGTTAAAAAACCTTCGTAAATCCCACGAAGCGAGCAAGAAATCTTCTGCGAGCCGTTTGAGGGGACTTAAAAAGCTGAGGGTCCACTCCAAGATATCTTTGCAAGCCCAGGTGTAGACTCACTGCATGGCATTCACCTCCCAAACCACAAGAAACCCCAAGCCCCAAAACCTAGACACCCTGTATGCCCCTAACGCTTCACCGGCGTTTTTGGAAGATTGAGCAACTGTTTTGCCCTAAACCCTAAACCCTAAACCCTAAACCCCAAACCCTAAACCCTAAACCACCTCCAAACATGGCTCCTTAAGGTCAAGATGCTGTTGGCCATGGTCCCTGGCAAAAAGCAGGCAGTTGGGGGGGGGGGGGGGGGAGGTTAGGGTTCAGGGTTTAGGGTTTAGGGGTTAGGGTTTAGGGTTCAGGGTTCAGGGTTTAGGAAAGATTACCTGCTTCAAGAACCCCCGAGAAAGTGCAAGATAAATCTATTTTTCCCTGAGAATTGTAAGGAACAGGAATTTTCATTTTTCGAGGGGTGGGGGGGGGGGGGTTCTCAAGGAAATAGTAGTCCAGGGTTTAGGGTTTAATGTTTGGAGTTTATCCTAGAACCTGACGTCCAAGCTGCAACCCTTGCCTCAAGAACCCGACCATTCGACCTGCCAGAAACCAGACCCAAACCCTAAACCCTAAACCCCAAACCCTATACACCATACATCCTATAAACGACAATCCCTAACCCAACCCTAAACCCTATAAACACTACATCCTATAAATCACAAGCCCCCGAGCCTTCAAAAAAGCCTTTGGGCTCACGTGACAAGGTGGCCAACCTCCAGCGTTTTGAAGAGGACTTCGGCCCGGGTGATGACGAGAACTCCATGGCCGGAAAATTGGGGGGGGGGGGGGGGGGGGGGGGGGGGGGGGTGTTATATAGGGTTTAGGGTTTAGGGGTTTGAAGGTTTGATGGTTTGAAGGTTTGAACGTTTGAAGGTTTGACCTGTTTGAAGGTTTGACCTGTTTGAAGGTTTGAAGGTTTGAAGGTTTGAAGGTTTGAAGGTTTGAAGGTTTGAAGGTTTGAAGGTTTGAAGGTTTGAAGGTTTGACCTGTTTGAAGGTTTGAAGGTTTGAAGGTTTGAAGGTTTGAAGGTTTGACCTGTTTGAAGGTTTGAAGGTTTGACCTGTTTGAAGGTTTGAAGGTTTGAAGGGCTTCAGAGTCGTTCTGAAGTCTGAGGGGTCATGGGCTTCGCTGTCCGGCGTGCCTTGATATGCCAAAAGCGGCGGCAGGGGCTAGGACCCAGAGTAGGCCCTTGTTCCTTCTTTTGGGGTTTAGGTTCCCTTACTTGCCCCCTCGAAACCAAACCCTAAGGGTCCATGTACCTTATTATTATATACTTAGACCCAAAAGTCCTTACATAGGAAGTACTTTAAGGCCCAAGTATTCCATAATCAGGTACGTGGACCCTTAGGGAGAGGGCACCCTTTTCATTCCAAGGTTACTCTTGGGTCTAGTTGGGGATGTCGGGAGGCATAAACCTTTTTGGAATTGGTTTAGGGTTTAGGGTTTAGGGTTTAGGGTTTAGGGTTTAGGGTTTAGGGTTTAGGGTTTAGGGTTTAGGGTTTAGGGTTTAGGGTTTAGGGTTTAGGGTTTAGGGTTTAGGGTTTAGGGTTAGGGTTTAGGGTTTAGGGTTTAGGGTTTAGGGTTTAGGGTTTAGGGTTTAGGGTAACTGCGAATTTTCGAAGTCAGGGCTTGACGGCTTTTGAGGGTTTGAAGCATAGGGCTTGGAGTTTCGGGTTTTTGGGTCCAGGGCCGCATCCGAAATTTTGTCCTTGGGCATAGGGAAGGAGACAAAGCACGCGGATTTCGGTTCTCGAAAGCTGCATTTCCCTGCAAACCCTAAACCTTGAACTAGGATTTAGGGTTTAGGGTTTAGGGTTCGCTACTGCGAGGCAGACAAGCCCATCGACTACCAACATTTGTTTGCAGGCGGGACCCGCTCTTGCAGGTACTGCTTGAGCATCTCAGCGTCGGGAATATCAGCCCGAGTTCTATCCTAAGACCCCGAGTGGGCTACATTCCCCTTCTAGCACCCTTCAAGCAAACTAGGGTACCCTGTTGATTCCTAGGTTTGTCTGGCAAGTGGTATCAAATCGATTACAGGAAGTGTACTGTTGAGCGGCAAGAGGACGGAGCATCCCAAAGGAACCCCGGACATATCCCTAAGGGTCCACGTACCTGATTGTGGAATACTTGGGCCTTAAAGTACTTCCTATATAAGGACTTTTGGGTCTAAGTATATAATAATAAAGTACATGGACCCTTAGGGTATAAGTTCCTGAGTCAAGCTCTGCCAGGCAACAGCGATGACCGATTTCGCATTGGCATCACCTTCTGGAAGAAGGCCCCCAATCACGGCACGACCCTCCTTCCACCGGAGCCTCGTTGTTGCAGCTTTGGGATTACGGGTGAGGACTCGTCTTGGTTGAGGGTTTAAGGGTTTAGGGGACTAGGCTTCAGAGGCCTAGAGTATGTCAAGTTGGTAGCTCAGGTTCTTCTAGCCTGAACCGGAATCAAAGTGAAAGACGTTGGCCCTTTTTCTCTTTCTCCATCGGACATTGCCCCCTTGCTTCTTGAGGCTCTGCCATGTGTGGATCAACCTTAATTATTATGACTCCGTCGCTCCCCACAC